TCTGGTGTTGATGCACTCTGAGAAGCCTGTGGATACAACAGAAAAGCTCACAGCATCCTACCTTGCCAGTTAAAGCCATACAACAGCAAGCTTTTAATTTTGACAAAGTAACAACAAACTTCTACTAATCACAATTCTTATAGCTACTGGCAGATTTAAAACCTGTGCAGTTTTTTAAAACCTTTATATGATACATGAGGGAATTCATTGGTGACACTCAATTTACTATGTGTTTGTCGGCATGTAATGCACGAGTAGTAAAAAAATCAAAAGTTTGTCTCCAGTATTATGTAAATGTATGTGTGTTAAGTGTCAAAACTTATAAGTGTATTTGTTAGAATACTTCCAAAAAGAGTTCCAATGACAAACAATAGTTTTATGGTTTGCACTGCAATTGTATGTTACATGCAAAATTTTGGCATGTGCCAGTTTGATGCTTGTCAGCTCTTCACTGACACATTACACCCCTACACAAAACAAAGAAATAGCTTGTACATACTAATGAGTCTGAAAGTGAACTTAGGCATTTTTTAGATGCGTATGTGCGTCAGCTCAGATTCAGGTACACAACCGGCCTGACACATGAATGCATATTTCCAGACCTGTGTTATGTCCATAATTTGGTTTGCTTACAGCTGTAGTTCTGATCTGCACTGTATTTAAGACACTTTGTAATCAGATCACAACTAGTGCCAAAAATAACAGAAAATTATAACAACACATCACATTGATAAAATTACACATACGTGTAAATGTAACATATTAACACTCATTTTGAATAAATATCTCTTGGGTATGTGTTCCAATGTTATGGTCACCAGGGTTCTCAATAGAAGGCGGCACCCGGCGATTGATCGCCACTTACTTTGGGATTTATAGCCGCTTACTTTGTGTTTAGGTCGCTTTTCTTTGCTTTGTTTTGACACCTCTGGCTTTGCTGAAGAGCCTCCTACTTTATCAGTGATCACCTCCTACTTAAAAATCTATTGAGAACCCTGGGTCACATTGCGGGGACAGAACATAGGTCACAGGTCACAGGTTACAAGTCACAAGTGCAGGTTAACTATTAGATACACAATGTAGGCAGTTTACCCTTAACCAAAAGTGCTCTATTTCGGATTGTGATTAGGGCTAGGAGACACTTGTAGTGTTGTTTATTTACCGTAGCACAGTGACCTGTATTCCAACCTGACTTTTGACCTATTTGTATCCGCCCGATAGTCACATACACATACCTTACAAGTAGCCGTAGGAGATTCTTCTTTTGTCAGCAAAGTTGATTCTAGAAACCACATGTAAAACAGGAAAGTAAAAAGAAGGCAATGAAGTAGGGTAATTCAGAAGCAATGTATTTTACCTTCTGGGGTAGACTTTGAAGATGATGCTTGGGTATCATCTTGAATAGGATGGGCAGCAGATGATGATTCACCAGCACTGGTCTCAACGATTGAACTGTCTGAGTCCTTGGTTTCATGACGACTTGATCCTGACGTTACATTACCACTGTTGATGTCAACATTCCCCTGTTCAACCTGAGATTCCTCATGTCCTGTCTCCATAGGTTCTTCTTTAACTGCTGCAGCTGTACCATTCAAAATATCATCATTATGCATGGGAGACCTTGGTTTAACATCACAGCCATTGGTAGCCCTGTGACTGATCTCAGACAGCAGTTCCTTAAGATCTTTTATCAGTTGCTCCTGTGGCAAAAAAAGTTCGGAATTGTCACATTCTTTGCTACAAGGGAGGAGGGGCAATGGATTTTCCCCAAGCTATAATATGGTTAGTTCAAGCTACTAAAACCCTTAATGCTCTAATATAAAACTGAATGTATACTGTTCGTACTATTTAGGGCAACTTTCCATCATAGTCTCATGATTGTGAGACTATGGCGGGTTAAAAATACCGGTCACTTTCCACAAGTCAGAGTACAGGTCAACATGGATGCTACAGATAAATAAACAGGACCCAAGGTGTCTCCTTGCCCTAACCTCTTTACAAAATCTTATTTTAGATAATGAGAGGAAACTGTATGGCTTAGTAATTTATCACCCTAGGTGCCTTGCCCTAATCTCTTTACAAAATCACTTTTTAGATTGATCAAGAGGAAACTATATGGCTTAGTAACTTATCGATGAAGCAGTGACTTCTACTCTTGACCTGAGGAATGTGAATGGTACTTTAGATCCTGCATTCATGATTTAAGGTTAACAACTTACTTCAGTTGATTTTCCATCTTTGAAATCACCCTCTATCTTTTCAATTCTAGAATTAATGAAAAAGTAAAGTAAAATGTTTAAAAAATTCAATGCAATACACTTCTCAGTACAAAAAAAGCAAGCCCTAGGCATAATATCCTTTGCCCAAGTTTAACTGTTATTGAAGTGAACGGTTTGAACTGTGGAGTCATTTCATAAGTAAGGTGGAATATGATTGTCTGGGGAGCGTAGTCCTGAATCCTGTTGTTGGCATGCAGTGACTGATGTTTCCACAAACGGTGCAATAGTTTGACTTCAGAGTCAAGAGGAATAGAGTTATTGTTGTTGTTGTTGTTGTTGTTTTGTTATAACACCATTTGCTCTAAGAGCCTAAAGGGCTCATCTTGAGAGCTTACGCTGTTTACATTGAATATTTTAAAGATACAAATGAACGTCATGATCAAACACACACTCGCACATAAAAAAAGCGAAAGAATAAAAAGAAAAAGACAAAGATAAAAATAAAAAACACACTCAGCAACTAACAGAAGCAATTTGATAGTGATTCAGAAATAAAGGACTGGACAAGCTGAAACAACCTAACATTAATTTGAAAATCAGCAGTAGAAATACCACTTAAAAGCCAATCGATTTTTTTCTTATCCGAGGTACCATGCCATCTATTTCCAAGTAATTGTGCAGGGGAGGAAAACAACTTTCACAAAGAGCAGCAAAACTTGGGCACATAAAGTTTCCTACTGACTAGATTATTTCAATACGACTCACCTTTCCTGCACTGTCTTTGCCAAAATGGATTTTATCAACTTGCACTTTTTTCTCACATAGCCCTGTTTTAAGGAGGATTTATGAAAGAGAGAAAGATGTTTAACGAGTGCAGTTTAAGCATCACTGTCAAGGGATAGCACGCAATCTTTACTTTTACCATATCAAAATATGGTTTACTTTGAAAGACTATTGTTGAGAGAATAAGTTATCTAAAGTGGACACGTCTTTTTACTGTAATACTAGGGAGGATGCATTTGGAAAACAGAAGATATCTGATGATCTTGTCTGCCAGTTGTCTGTCTGTTAGAGGTATGTTGATCGATAATAATATTAAATTTTGTCAAAAAGACATGGTCACATCACAGTAGCAAATAATTATATAAATGGCTGACAAACGATTTGATAAAACTAGATTTACACTCTTTAAATTTCAGATCTTGTGTCTTATAAGGGGTATTGACTGCCATATAGTACACTCCTCTAGAGTGATTTGCACTTGGTTGATGCATTGACTGACATTTGACCAATATATTGACCAACACGTGGCTGACACTAATATTGGTCAATTATTGACCAATAAAGCCAAACCTCTCCATAATGACCTCCTTGGAGACAGAAGAAAGTGGCCATTGTAGAGAGGTTGTTGTCATAGAGAGGTTTAAACATGAGTCAATGTTACGGATTGTCTGCCAAAAAAAAATGGCCGTTGTGGAGAGGTGGCCATTAGGGAAGGTTTGACTGAAGAATACGTGATCATCACCCTTCTATCACCCTTCCATTTTGTCCATTATTTCATGGGTAGAAAAGTTTTCAACCAGTAGTTAGGTCATGTGATCTACAGTAGCTACCACAATATTGCATTAAGAGTAATCCTGTTGGAGGAATTTACAATATCAATGGAAGAAATTTTGCAGGCTGATCACTCAGTTGATAACACTGTGTAAGTATTTCTGTTTGCACTATGTGCGAATAGGTAAAATGACTGGCGCAAAAGATTTAGCTGCCATAGTGTCTTTTTCCCCAGAAAATGCGGGCAAATGTGGGTCCAAACAATTTAAACTACAGATTGAGGAAAAATAGAACTGTCTGCACTCTGTAACTATTCAAATCAATGGTCTGTAAACCGGCAATATTTAATATTAAACAGTTGTGAGAATTGAATGGTTCATCAAGGTGTCACGAACACGTTTTACAGACTGTTAAGGAGGATTAAGATGTTGATCGCTCATTATGAGCAAGATTTGGGAAAGTTTTATGTACAAACACAGTGAATCACATTGCGATCACGATTATACGACACAATAAACAAAGTTTAATGAGAAAGGCCATTTGGACCTTTGATCGCACAATCTTTGGATCTTCTAGAGACCGCAATTTTGCTGCCCCATTTCTCAAAGATTTTTCACCAGTGCGTTCACAGAGGCTGTTCAGTCACTCATTCGAGCAAGTTGTGCACATAAATGACCGAGAGCACATGATCGACCCACCTTCTCGGTTATATCACCATCCCTGTATTCTTCCTCCAGTTCTGATAGTCTGCAAAAGAAAAGATAGGGTTATCTTTACCTAAAATGATACTTAAAACCTCCAGGACAAAAAAGTAAACGCATCGATCGCGTGCAGCGCTTGCAGCTCAGGGCTTAAATTTACGGACAAGTTTGTTCAATATTTCAATGATTTCAACAGAACCGCCATATCTTACCTCTCAGAGATTCCTGGAGGAAATTCAGCTTCTGTTTTATGAACCATTCTTTCAAAAGCACAGAAAGGAACGATGGAAAACAAGCACCACACCTCTTGCAACTCGCTTATCGGCGCTGATCAAGATCGATCGAGGACGGCTCGATCTCGTGGAATGTTTTGTTGTCGATTTCCCGCCAAAAGTCACTCGCGCAGGCGTTGCGCGCTTACCCGTCACCACTCCACAGAGTAAATGCGGCCATTTTACCTGGTTCACCTGATGGTCCAAAATGAATGGAAAAGTTGAGGATTTAAAGTGACGTTTTGTTATCCTGTATGGGTTCCCAGAGCCAGTCCGATTCCAGTCAACTTTCTTCTCTAATTGTATCCTTTCTTTTACTAATTCTGTTAACGCGCAAACTAGCTGCTCGTGATATATGCAGAATCGTTGGAGACATCTCTTCATTTGTGTTTCAACAGGTTTCAATGTGTTCATTGCTGAGACCTGGATTGTAGTTTTGACGTTTGAAATACTGTAGTTTTATAGGCGAAGACGACCAGCGAGTAGCTCAATTGTTATCCATGCAAACTTTTCAGTGCAGTGCCTAAATACGATCTGCACAATTACAATCTTGGATCTTGATAAAATCAGCTTTAATTTATTAAGGTTAATAATAAGTTTTTGCTCATATAGGCTCAAGTTAAGTTTGATATAAGCTTAAGCTTAATTTTACTCTACTTTTGACTGAAAAGGTGTTGTGGCCTATTTTTTCTTCTGAGCTTTAGACCCTGGAAACCAATATTGATTGTTGAGCAAACATTTACGTATAGAAGTAAAAGTAATTCATCAACTAAGATAGTACGCTCGTTCTGATTGGTTAAAAACCTATGGTTCATTTTGCCAGTAAACTCATAGAAAACTTAAAGTTATTTTATAAAAGCAATAGACCACACTTTCTATGGGTTTACCAGCATGATAACCCACTTGGGATGTCGGGAGAACACTCGAAAAGCTCGTAAATCGCGAGCCAAAGGGGAGTGATTTACAAGCTCAGGGCGCTTTCCATTTGTCATAACTGTCCAGCCAGATCAGTCAAATCCTAAATAGTATGCACGAAGGTTTTTCCGCAAGAAAAACTCTTGGAAAAAGGCTAATTCATTGTCAAAATAACTGGTCTGGCTGGCCAGTTTGGACTTAAGGAAAGTGCCCTCAGTTTAGGTAGTGGCTTGGGCCAAATTCTACTTCTAAATTTTAAGTTAAGCAGCAGGGCTGTCACCCCCCCCTCCCCCCCCCCGCCATCTTCAAATATTGAGAGTTGATAGGAAAGGTATAATAGATGATGTCATAATGCATGGCACATGATGTAATTTGTGGAAAAAATACTTGTTGACTCCGACTGTCACAAATTTGCAATGACACAAAACACGTAAAGGAGATGTTGTTGGCACTGTAACATTTGACCTGACTGGTTTACTTCCCACCAATCACATCACCTCTTTTGCAGTTGACTCCCAATTACTCGAACCCTTGCTAACTTGAATCAAAGTCTATTAAAGTCTATATTTCCTTCATACATTTACTGTAATTTTACCCTTAGTAACTCAAACCCTCGATAACTTCCCGCTAACTCAAAGTAATTTTTGTTTCCCTTCAGATCATTTCTATACAATTTTACCTTTGATAACTCGAACCATGATATAAGCACATGACAAGTTGAGAAAAAGACCATGTACTGAAGTCCAAAACATTGATTTTATTTTTAAACAACTGTGTGAATTCTTTGTCTTTACTTTTTTGTCACTCCAGTTCAAATTCAGTGTCCATCCCTGTATACTTTGTTTCTTAACGGAATTCCCTCCCCATCCATTTGCTTATTTCCTTACTTCTGGTTATTTACTTCAAACCCCCGATAACTCGAATTTTTTCAATTTCCCTAAAAGGTTTAAGTTATCGAGAGTTGACAGTAGTACAATGGCATATATACCAGAGTTTGTGAAAAAAGAATAAATAGCTCAAACAACGTATAATATTGTCGGAAAGTCAAGTCTTCAAGAGAAACAGCAAATTTCAGCAATTATCCGAGAGATTTCATACTCTAATTGGGAGATATGGTCCAAAATTTGGAGTCTTCCGGATCATCTGGGAGAGTTGACAGCACTGAAGCTGTCATCATGGATTGAGTTTATAATTATGCAGTCTTTAACATAGTACACTCAGAAATTGTTTACTGAGGCTGGGGATATACAAGAAAAGCTAGGTAGGATTTCAATAATTATCAGGCCCTGGTTATTCAAATTGGATAGTGCTATCCACCAGAAAAATCACTTTCCAGCAGATAAAACATTTGGAGACCAATATTTATTTTTTAATGCCAATTGTCCCTATGCTAGCATTAGCCAGGACAAGTTACTTCATGTTTGCCTCACTGTTAGGGATGTTTTGCCAGGAGGGACGTCCGTGCCTCAGTGACAGAAATTCCATACTGATGACGTAAAATCTGTCCTAATCTGGTCAGGAGCTCTGACTGGTCAATGCTGTATGATGTAAACATTGATTTACGTCATCAGTATGGAATTTCTGTTGACAAGGCACAGATGTCCCTCCTGGCGAAACGTCCCTAGCTAGCAGCAAGGAGCGAGAAGAGACAGATGTTTTCACTGGCTAGTTTCTTGTATGGTCTAGATTTGCCTTTCCCTTGTGATGGACTAGCAGTTTGTCTGTCCTGAAATTCTCACAACAGCCTAGGTCCCACTTGTTCAAATGTTGGATAGCGCCATCATGATGCGGATAAATCTTTATTTAGCGTTATCCACTGGATAGAGATTTATCCCACAGTGGACAGTGTTTATTAACCCAGCTTTTGAACAGTTGGGGCGTGGAAAGAGTTGTTTAAAAGATAGTGCCGTGTTCAGATCACTATACATTTCTGGGAAAGTGCCCACCTACGCCTCCCCTATCTCACCATTTTGCCCTAAGTGAAAAGTAAGTGTTAATGTTAGCTTAGGGGAGGGGTAGGTGGAGAGTTTCCCAGAAATGACTAAACTGATCCCAGTGTTCAATTATTTACCATGGCAGCTCATATTCTCTTACACGTATTGCAGTTAACCAAGGATAATCTGTTAACTGGGCCTCAAACAACTTGACCCTAATCATTACTTTTTTGTTCTGAATGTGTTATGTTCTAACACCAAAGGGGATATGAACCAACCATTTAGAGTTTATGTTCAATTTTAATATACTTTTTATTGTGACTCTTTACAGAGCATTTCAGCAGCTTGACAAGTCAAGTGCTACCATGTTTGATGTTAGTAGAGGTGGAAGCAAAGCTGTTTTCAAGAATCCTTCCCAAGGTTCTGTTAAAAATTTTTATAATGGAGAAAATTTGTTATCAATTTTGACCACTTAGCTTACACATGGTGGGTTGCTTCCTAAGGTACAAGTAAACAAGAATTTACCTGCAGTTAGAAGCCTCTGGCAACCAAATTATTCTTTTAGGCAGCAAGGAAATGGTCTTTTCCAGCCGGCAAATTTACATGCAGAGTTACCATATTTTTATAGGTTAGGCTTTTGCGAATGGAATAATAAGATTGCAGATGGTCCTCACAAATACTAAGCTATTAAAAGAGTGTGATGAAACACACACACATGTAACTCATTATAGCAGTCTAAAAATTTGTTTTTCCTCATTGAAAGAAAAAGCAAACTTGGCCATTTATCAGGTGAAAATCGAGAAAAGCAAATTAAGAATCCCGATTGGATACCTGAGTTGATTCTCAATACTCAACTCTTACAAGATTGAGTATCAAATTGTCAAGTTACTTTTGAACAGTACTTCACTTTTATTGTTAAAAGGTGTATGATGCCGTCTCAGATGCAGTTTCACAGTTGGAGGCTGTTGTTCAGTCACATCCTGGGGATCCAGAGAGAGAGAGCAGTTTTCATTCATCTCGCTCACTTCTGCAGGTTTGAAGTTAAAACTATTACTCCCAGAAATTTTTGAAAACCCCTTGAAAATTATTATTGTCTTGTTTCTAAATACTACTTGAAAAGTCCTGAAATATTTCATAATTGCTACTGGATGAATGGACATTAAATGTAGTAAAGGAATAGTAAGGAACATTTGCAGTAAAGTATTCATGTTTTTGGTCCTGGATTTCTAACATTTCTGCCAGTAAATCTTGGACATCTTAGTCTCTAACCAAATGCTCATGCAATGTATAGGGGAGGAAAGCAAGTTATAGGCCAATAATTCTCTTTGTTTATTCAAGTTAATTAAGTTTCCAGAAAAACATGCAACATGCAAAATTTTTATAGCAAGCCNCATTTGCAGTAAAGTATTCATGTTTTTGGTCCTGGATTTCTAACATTTCTGCCAGTAAATCTTGGACATCTTAGTCTCTAACCAAATGCTCATGCAATGTATAGGGGAGGAAAGCAAGTTATAGGCCAATAATTCTCTTTGTTTATTCAAGTTAATTAAGTTTCCAGAAAAACATGCAACATGCAAAATTTTTATAGCAAGCCTGTTGCTCCCAACTCATAAAGAAAAAAATGTATGATGTTGTTTTTGCTTTCAGTTGGTCTTATCATTTATGGCCTGTCTGGAGAGCTGTATAGGACACATGAGTCAGCTGTCACTTACCGATGAACTGAGTATGAGCCACTTACATTCCTTACCATCTGCTGTCATACAGACTGTCAAGACAGCATTTAAACATTGCAAGGTACTGTATATGGTCCAATACTTTTGCTTTGTAGAGGTGTAGTGGCAACAAAATTAAGCACAATGGCTATACCTGAAACAACGGGAGAAAAGGAGCACTTTTATTGATTGATTTTTAAAGATATAAGTGCATGAAGTCTGGATATGGTATCTCTGTACTCTATAACACTTTTAATAGTTGACACTGCAGCGGCTCCCGCTCTTTATGTTGTCAGTCAATTTTATCCTTGGTCTTTGTGTAGCTCTTTGAAAGATGTTGATTCACATTGCAGATTTTCACACTTATTCTATTTAATAGGTAAGATATATAAAAGCAGGAATGGCAATATTCCACATGCATTGATTTAAGAGCTTTAATCAAAACACTCTGAGTTTCAAGAATTTTTTCACACTCGCTTTTTAGTCATTCTTTTTTAACTATTAAAATGGCATTTAAACAATACTTTGCTTTTTAAAAAGCTTTATAGAGGGATCTCTTTAAAATGGAATACATCAGCACAGTTGTTGGCAAATTTCTGTAATTGTCTACCCTGCAAACAGAGGCTACATTTTCTAGGTGTGAGCTGGCATGTGAAAAGTACTGTGGCAGTGTACACACCTTAGTTCACACTACGAAAATGTAGCCTCTGCCTGCAGGGTATTAACTGTCCATCATTCTGCTTATGTTAAGGCTAGCTTGATTCACTTACTCTCTTAGAATTATTTGTTTATGGACTGATTCATTGATTCCCCCAAAGTGATTTGTGTCTGACAAATCATTTCCAACCAACTATTTGTAAATGGTCAACTGGTGTCTGGCAAATTCTCCAAGTGCTTACACACAGTTATACACCCTTTTATAACTTGTATCCACACTACCATCTTTTGTTCCATAATTTTGGTCCAACGCGAGATTTTTTCTTTCATGGTCGGAGAGATTTTGATGCTTGTTTGAGAGAGAAACATAAGAGTATTGCATTTTCTGTTTTAAGTCATCCTAACCATTTCTTAGTTTGCGGGTGTTTAGGGCTGAAACGTTATCATTACCTAACAATTCCTCATGGCCCTGTTTAAGAAAATCAAGTTTTTCTGGTGTACTATAACTGCATATTTTAACCATAGGTACTTTTCTATATATATGCATGAGCTATTACATGACTGTAGGATGCCCCAGGGCTGTGCTCTAGCAGAGCCCAGTGGCCCGTGGCACCCAACTGTTGCTCCTGGGCAACTAGAAAATCTCAGATTTTTCATACAAATCATATGCTGGGCACGCTAGATTTTACAGGTTCAGAGCACTGGGCACCCTTCAATTTTCCTTAGAGCACAGCCTTGTGCCCCCTTAAACATGTGCTATATACTACCTGATCTGAGGACTTTTATGCCATTTGTTCTTTTTATTCAAGATGCATCATACCTTTCCTTACGTACAATATTTTTTACTCTATTCTTAAACACCATGTGCAAAGATGGATTATACTGACAATACTTAAATTTGTAATAATGATGTGATTACTTTTTCTGACATCTTGACTATGTCCATCATTCCTTGCAGGATAGTGAGAATATCTATGGTGAATTGTTTCAACTTGTGTCACAAGATTTGGCAACATTGTTTAAGAAGACTTATCAACTGCAAAAGGTCAGCACTTAAGTTACTGTGACATCCCTCGTCAAAACCTTGGGTGCCATGTGGAATTCTATTTACACATTTTTCTAGTCACATATGCTGCACATTCTAGGCACCTCTTTCTCTTTTATTCTTTGCTAATTACGCCTGACAAGTGACATAGAATTTAGTGACTTCTTTGTTAGTTTATTTTGTGCATACTGGATTCTGATGGGCCTGTTTTTTTCCCCTTAAGTCACTGCATATTTTTATTTCTCAGCTGTCTTTGTTATTATGCTGTGCTCTGTGTTAAAGCCACAAAAAGCCATGCATGCATGCTGAGGAAAATGGAACATGGCTGTACTAAGGGTACTAACGTACTAAAGACCGATAGAATGCCAAAAAAACGTAGAACACAGCCGTACTGACAGTACTAACATGACTCGATGGCAGAATAAACTACCAAAACATGGAACATGGCCGTACTACCAGGAGGCAGCGTGGCCGAGTGGTCAGCGCGTCGGACTCGCAATCCGGCGGTCCCGGGTTCGATTCCCGCTCTGGCCACTTGCTGGATTTGTGCTCGGTGGTCCCGAGTTCAAATTCTCGGCCACGCTTGTAAATAGCCAACTGGTTGCCTTCTGCCAGTTGGGGTTTTTAATCCTGTTATGTTGTATTTGAATTATTTGTTTCTAAATATTTGAGTGGAGTGCCTGTAAATTAGCTGACTAGCTAAGTGCACCNTTTATATCTGCTAACCCATCGTCACTGTCGTCACGTGAGAGCACCCAGGCGCATACTCTTGTCGAACCAGTTTCGGAAGCATTCAAATTCCGTGCTTTTAATTGGCTACAAAATATTTTTTAGCCAATCAGAATCACGGAATTAGAGTAAGTGCCCTGAATATCTATTCTCGAATCAGCTACCCCTGGGTCTCCGAGGATGATTACTTTTTACATTTATTTACAATATTTCTCCGTTTCTGATTGGCTTAAATCTGCCCGTTATTTTTTTTGGTAGTGAGCTACCGGTGACCACATTTGAAAGAAACGTTGTTTGAGAAGTAATCAACAATGGCCGATTACGGTCAATCGTCCTATAATATATTAAATAAGGAAACAATATGAGGAGACCTTATAAACAAATTGTCGATGGAAAAGAAAGCAACAATACACAAAAAGCTGCTAAAAGATTTCAACTTTTTTTCTGAAGGAAACCTAATGAAGAAATTATACGTAGAGATAAGAATGTTATGACCATGGAAATGTTCTAAATGAATAATAAAAGGATTATTGAATTCGGTTTCAATACGATACGAGGAATTATGCAGAATAATAGGGAGTTATCTACCTCAGAGTCCGGCGGATAACACTCTACAAGACCTTTATAATTCATATCATACTCAGTCTAATCCAGTAATTGATAAATGATCTAAATCTGAGACTACTCTGTGTGAAACAAACACCAATATTTACATTCAAACTCGAATGGTATAATATATTAATGGTGCGACCATTATATGGATTTCACTGCTTGCCTGATCTACCATAAATGTATTTACAAAAAGGCAAGGTGGAAACCTTATCAGCTAAAGAAATTTTAACTTGTGGTTTTCATAGAATACTACAAAATCAACTATGTAGTAAAAACTATACACTTTTCGGCCCGGCGATTTTTAACCAAAAAAAAAATCATTCTGAAACACTGATCAGTTCAGGATCAGGCACCTACACAGACGCCCTTTTGGCTCGCCACACAACATCAGAATCATTTATACATTTTCCAGTATTAGCTTTTTTTTATCTTTTAATTGAATATCAGTCTATGATCTTGGCTTTTTTCTTTTAAGATTATCTACGCATGTCTGTCATTCAGGGCCGGCAATGAGGATTTCCCCGGGTACCATGAGGATCATGCGCAGCTACTTTCATGGGAAATAAAAGAAAAAGATCTGGCCCCGGTTGTTCAAAAATTGGATAATGCTACCCACCGGATAAATCACTATCCATAGGATAAGTATTACGAAAACCAATTGCGCTATCCTTAGGATAGTAATTTATCCAGTGGATAGCGCTATCCACCTTTAGAACAACTTGGACCTGAAAGGACTTCTTAACTGCTCAATTCCCCGCCTTGTTATTGCATGTACAGGGCTCGACGTTGCGACCCGTGGGGTCGCCAATGCGACCAGCTTTTACTCAGTGGCGACTAAATTTTCACGCCTGGTCGCCAACCTGGCCCCCAAGATAGGTGACTTTCTTCTTTGGGTAAACGTACACTAATGATAACTTGCTATCCTTTACACAACTAACGGATAGCTAACGGTTTTTCTAATGCTCTAACGTTTTGCCCAAACGCTCTAACGGTTTGTCTAAACGTTTTAACGATTTGTCTAAAGGCTTTAACGATTTCTTCCAACAATCTAAGCTACGTTTTCATAACCCAAATAAGTTTTTTTGTGATTCCTAAATTTTGTTTTTTTAATGTGTATTCCATTTCCTGAACCTTGAGCTTGAATACCTGTTTGAGGAGATTTACGCTTGAGTGCGGATTCATTTTACAGAACACCGGCTGGTAATCGAGCGTCAGCGAAAACCATTCGAAAGAAAGTTCAAAGAAAGTCTGAACCATTCATTCTCTGTTAAGGCTAAGTTAAAGATGTTAAGTTAATTTTATCCCATTAGTTCTTAAATATAATTTTTGGCGACTAGAATACTTGTTCTGGCGACCAAAAATGAAAACTTGGGGGCCAGTTGGCCCTAAGATTTTTTTCTGAAAGTCGAGCACTGGCACCTTCCACTATAAACATGCCTTTAACCTTTTTTTAACCTTTAACTAAGCGTACTAATGTACTAAGACCAACAGTTACTGCTCGTATGTGTATAAACATTTTGTTTATTATTTTGTGAGATATTTTTTTTGTAAGAGGTATTCTTTTTTTGTGTGAATAATTCATTGATTGATTTGAATGTGATCATAACTAGTTTACCCTGACCTGGAAATTGTACAATGTATGAAGACATTGTTTGATTTATTTTGTAACTATTTTGTGATGTATTTGTTATTTTTTTTATTACTTCTATTATTATTATTATTATTATTATTATTATTATTGATGAATGAGCAAGTTTACATAGCTTTTCTATAAACTTTTTTTTTCTTTTATTTTTTTTCCAAGGCTCTGATGGAGTTGCTAGAAAGAATTCAGTTTAGTTACAATGTGTGTGACCAAGATGTCAAAGATATCACAGAAGGTATTGTTAATTCTGTAGATAAGTCAGTGTGATATAGTTTAAGTTGTGGTCATCATGAGATGTTTGTGCATGTATGTAAAAGGCAAGGTATTAAATGGCTTATTAAATGGCAGGTTCCCAGAAAGATATGCCATGAAACATTAGTTTCCCTGGTGGAGTGGTGTACCTTTCAAACATCATTCATGCCGGGTGGGTTTCAGCAGGCTCATAAATGGACAGATAGCGGCTGCCAGCGGCTGCTTACTGTTAACATGTTAATATATAATGTAAAGAGCATCTGTTGTCCTCTCATCCACGACATTTCATTTCATTTGTGAGTCTATTTCTTTTAAATGGAAGTGGAATGGCCGAGGCTTTAATGCCTTGCTGTTATTTTTTTTCTGCATTCAAGTTTGTCACCAGCTCCTGGAAATCTGTACTCTCATCGGTGATTTGGACACAAGCATACTGGTAAACACTTGGAAGGCATTAAAGAGGTGAGTAATAGCATCACTATAGAAACTATTTGATAATATTTATAAGTCAGCAAGACTGTAGTGATGAACTGACTTGGTCATTTGGTCTTCAGTTTAACATTGCCCTTACATTTTTCACTGAATTTTACACATTTGAAGTTACACAAGGCTAAAGAGTAAAGCCAAAACCTTTTTGTTTTTTTTTAAAATAAAGGAAAGAAAGCTTGCTTGTTCTATGTGTTTCTTTTATCATTTTGAAGTTATTCATGTTTCCTATGCAACATCTCGACTTTTGGCCTTTGATTCTTTACTCCAAATTAATACAAAAACCAGAGACAATATAAATGTAATGAGTCCTGGACTAAAAACTTAACAAAAAGTAGATTATTAATATAACAGGCCTGACAAAGTTTAACACTGTTTTGGAAACTTTCTCTTTGGGCAGACTTCTGGTGAAGCATAAAGAACATATAAAAAACCATCTAGAGGTATGTGCTTGAAGTCAGTCACAATATAAGTCAATTACTGTGGGTACATATATTACCTATACTGTCTTTTTTGCATGATAAAGGTTTGTTTTCACATCTTCTGCCATTTGTTGCATTTATCACATTTCACAGTGAAAATCTTATTATTGGCTTACAGTGCATTTTGCTTGGTGCAGGTTGATAGGTTGATTTGTCATCTGTGTATATCAATTGAAGCCAAGCTTGAGCGATGTATTCATATTGCGCCAATTGTTAGTGAAAAGGTTGAAAGAGATAACTCTCATAAGGTAAATCTCTAACTCTTCAATTAAATTTAATCAGATTTATTCTCTTGTCATGATAAAGTGAAATGCATAGGTGTTGATGAAAATTTGGTTATTGAGAGTCCTGCATATATAATAATTCAGACAGTTCAAGTTTGATTGGTTGATTGATTAATTGAGTAATTGATTGATTGATTGATTGATTAACTATTTTAAGCAATAACTGACTGACTGTATGTAGGTTGCTGTGATTTTTTTTTTCTGAAATTTGGGCTTCCAAACATGTAGGTGTGTCATTAAGATTTCAAGACATGAAGTTGCTGGGTATGTGCAATAAGTAGATATGGAATTGCACATCATTCTATGAAGTTTTAGTTTTAGCTCTATTTTCTGTTTGTTTTCTATGAATGTAGCCGGAGGTCATGCTTATAGAAGTTTGGGGAAATCCCTGGCTCCCGGCATTCAGTGAAAGCCCTGACATATGGTTAACCTATCTACAATATGGCTAAATCTACCAGGAGTTTAGAGTCTTTTGTTTTGACATTAATTAAATATAATTTGACTGGTCAATTTAATGGAACAATAATTGATTGATTGATTGATTGATTGATCCTTAAAAATTAAGATGACTATTTTGGTCATTCTAGGGTGCTAGTATACATGTAGTTGCTGATGAAGCAGCCTTTGGGAAGATGCTAAAGGTTATGCGCTTCCTTGTTGGTCACCTTGTTCACCTAGTTAAGGTACACAGTACAAACATGTAATCCTTACAGTAAATGGTCAGAGCTTTCATCCTATGTATATAGTAGTAGCATTTAGCAAATTTGAGTACATTGTAGAGGGGAATATTTGGTCTATTTATGATGGCCTGGGCTTCAATCCTTTTTCTCCACTCTGAACCCTTGTTCTCCCAGAGTGAATGATGAAACCTTCTAAGGTGGTTCTAACTTATTTGGAGTCTGTGCATGACATCCTGTAGTGAGACCATTCAAATGAAACCTCTCAAGAAGTACTTTTACAAAGTACATGTTTGTGTTACAATTATTGTTTTTCTGCGTTCTGAATTTTGACTTCGCCCATATCTAGAAATGAAAGGTTATTGTAGCAAGATGATTACCCAAATGTCTCTGCACAGGGGCTCATGGCTGGGCTATATAATGGGGAATGTCTTTCATGGGAATGGTTTGTTGTTTCTGATTACAGTCAGAAGGGCACTCAGAGCACTGTACATGCCTCACACCTATTGTCTACTTTAAGCACTTATGCAAGTGTTAGTTCAAGCTGATTTGTTTTTCATGGCCTCAGTTATTGGAACCTAAGCGACATGATGTTTACACAAATTAAGCAGCATGCAAGGAAAGTCATGTTTGATAGCTAAGGGCTAGTGGATTTTGTTATCAGGCTGATGAATTTTGTTCTCTACTTGCCCAATGTGCAATTGAATTTTGTTGTAACAGCTAATCGATTATTTTTCAGGGTAGTTAAAATTACTTTCAGGCTAGTACATGCTAGCTACAGCTTTAAAACTGACTTTCTTTGCAGCCTGAAAGAGTGTTTAATTGTGTACTGTTATGTGGCAGGTACAAATTTAATAAGTGTAAAATAATTTCAGTAGATAAAATATATTCTGTACAATGATTAAGTGATCTGTTTTCTCTCTTTTCAGGAATTTGATGGTTATTATGACAAGTGTATTGAAAATGTTTTTCAGTTTTTACTGACTATACAAAGGTAAACAGCTAAAACAAGTAAAAGCTACATTGTATACCTCTTACCTTTCACTATATCCCTTGTATATCCCTTGTTATGTACAGTCTATACTTGTTTTTATTCTTATAATAAATTTTGAATCTGTGGACTACATCCAAAAGAGGAAAAATTATCCTGATTATTTTATTTTATTTTATTTTATTAGCTTCGCCGAATAACCCCCAAAAAAACATACACTGTAATTAAACTTAAGGGAGAGGGACACCGCAACAGCTGAGGCTAATTACAGCGGGCCCGGGTAGGAAAAAAAGAGTGTGAAATGTTAAGAATAACAAAATACAAGAAAAGAGGCTAACTACATACAACAATTAAATGATCGGGCGAGATAGCAAATGGTCACCATTACTTTCCAAAAGTGATTGACACAATCCAGGCTTTTTCAGGAAATGATTTCCAAGTTTGCTATTATCAGAAGTTGGATGGTTACCACGGCATCAACTACCTTCAGAAGGGATGGTTTTTTGCTGGAATCCCAGACTTGCACAAGAATAGGCCTCTGTAACTCATCAGAAACATTTCCTGAGATTTAAGCATCCAAACACAAGACAATTGGCCGACCGGGGGTCGACTGTTGGTCGTCTGCCAGTTTAGGGGACTTGTTCTTCACAATTACCAGTAACTTTGCTAATGCCACCCCCCTATTATTGTCTCTGACTATCAGTTTTAAGACACTTGTCAACTTTAGACTAGTCTTTGGAAACTTAGACATACAACTAAGTCTTGACTGTTTTATTGATTAATTACATTCTGCTAATAAGCTGCTTTAACTTCTTTTCATTGAACTTAGTAAATTACCCCCAAGTCTGAATGCTCCAAAGATTGCTGCTTCTGCAGCTGAAGGAGTTAAATCTGCATTGTTAGTTGTGGTAAGTATGAAAATGAATTGTAACTTGTGGTAATGATATCAACAAGTTTCTTTAATTTCCTCTTTGAATTACAGATGTAGGCTAAGTACATGTAAAGCTCTATGGTAAACAGTGAAATAGATATATATTTTAGAAGGGAGTCGTTTTCCCGGATTTCTTTCCAAAATTTCACATCAAAAGTTCTTAAAAGTTTTGTTGCCTGAAACATAAATTTTAATTTTATTTGTAGTACTAACCACAAAGTAGGTAAAATCCTTTCCTCAGGTAAAAGCAGTGTTCAACCTAGGTTTTTAGGTTAACTGAGAACCCTAGTAAAAAGGTAACAATGAGAAGATGAATACTTGTGTATAATCTGAGAATGGATTTTACCTACATCTTTACTTCATTCTTAATGTAGCATTAAATGAGCATCACTACTGTAAATCAAACAGGGCAAGTCCATAGGGCTACCTAGCTTTCTCTTAAACAGAACTACTGTCCTTATCTTAATTTATAGGAGACAGACTAAAACCAGTTGCTGCTCTAGCTAATCTCTAACTGACATAACCATTTAGTGGGGTGCTTGCAATTTTGCAATATTGCTTTTAGTTCCATGAAACCAATTGTAAAAGTTAAATGTTTTAGGAGTTGCAACCCGCAATGTGAACACAGTTACTATTATAGGACATAACCTTCTATGATTTATTTAAGTTGAGCCATTTGGTTTAAAAGAACATCACCTTTAACAGGTTGAACCGCTCTTAGCTGTGCTGGTCACAAACAAGAAGTTTGCCCTTTTGGTAACGAAAGAGACTACAGGTAAGTTAGTTGGACACTATATTCATGTCAAAGTCGAGCATGAATGGACAAAGCTGATTTTCAATTATATACTGCTGCTTGCAATTTTATGTCAGTTCATCAAACCAGGCTTACAAAAGTTTCTATACAATTCCAACTCCTGATAAATATTGCAAAAATTTAAAATGGTTAGCCTGTGGAGCAGCCTTTGCCAGAGTAGCATTGCTTGGTAACAATTCAAAAGTACATTGTATAAACCTCACTGAATAAGATGAAAAAAGCTCTTTGGGAGATGTAGCCCTTAATATTCAGTGTATGAAAATGTGTTTTTCCTTGAGTATTACAGAAAGTTTACATGCCTAATGTATATGAGGCGTCAGTCTCTCTAAGCATTTTTTTGTTGGTGTACATCTTCACAATATCAAACCAGCTTATCATTGGCCATGTAATCTGACCCTTTATTACCGGCATTTAAAATGGCAACTTTTTCAGTCTTGAGTTAAATGAAAGAGTACGGATTTCTTGGATTGATGCATTCAAAAGGGTAAGGAATACAACTGGACAATAATATTTCCAAGCAAGGTTCTTTAAGTCTGCAATGCTGATGTTGATGAATAGTATTTCTTGTCTATGCAACTTTAGTGAGTAAATAATTGATTTTAGTATATACTAAAACAGTGGATAGTGTTTTTCGCGCGCTCTGATTGGCTACTCAATCAGTGAATATCCTGCACTATTCACTGATTCATCTCCAGTTCCTCGGAGCGAGCGACGCCAAACTCGTGTAAGTTGCAAGCAAAATGCCTTCCCGGTTTGCTGCCGTAAACAAACAAAGAAATTTCACCACTAATCAACCAGGCTGTTTCCAAAATACACGAAGAAGGTGACGAAGTTCGGATTGGAAGTTTTAACAGGTAAAGCTTTGTCTTTTTGACACGAATTTATCGATAAAACCGGTGAAAAAGTTTTTTGTTTACAAATGCAAATGAAGCTTAAGTCTTGCTTACTTTATTTAGTTGAGTTGTTCATAAATAAGCTTAAAACTAAATTTAATAATCTTTTTTTATAGAATGATTTTAAATACAAAAAGAATTCACAACTCCTTTTGAAGAAATTTCCCCGCAAGAGCTAAACAAATGCCTTCAAAAGTTTTAGTTGCCGGCAAGAAAAAGCGACGGCCGCGGCCGCCCGGTCATTACGCGCCAAAATTGTAATCGTTGGCAACAGTATTTGAGTTAAAAATAGTCGTTTTTGTGCTCAATTATCTCACTGTTTTAGTATATACTAAAACAATTATTCACCTCAGTGTTGGTGGCTAGTCGTGGATATTTACCTCACTGCTTCGCAGTTCGGTAAATATCCAGGACTAGCCACCTCCACTTCGGTGAATAATTGTTATATACGCCAGTGACTTGCATACCTCACTAAGACCTTAATGTGCCATTATTTCAGAAATTGACCAGGCTCACCGGTTCTCACAGTGTTGTCTACTAGCTTCTATACTTTCCATTTTACCAAAGACAACAGGTACGTTAGTCGTGATCAATTTCTCCCAAGATACAATTTTTCTCACCATAAACATTTTGATGTTTCGTTATTGTCTCCTATTGTACACAGTTATAGTCTAGGTTAATTGAACTTTGTGATATGATTATTTAGCTCTTTAGACCGAGTCATATTGTTCATCTAGAGTAGCTTTTGTTTGTGGTTTAGTTAAAATCACCGTTTTGCCAGGCTGAGCCTGTGGAAAGCAAACTAATCAAATTGCCTGTGTACCAACATTACTTTTTTTACCAATTTTATTACAGAGGATGTATTTCAATATTGGGTTATGCCTACTAATTATCCTGAGGTAATTACTGGGAAAGTACAGTATTATTTTTGACTCAGACATTATTATAGTATGTCAAGGTAGTAGTAAATTAGTCTGTTAATTTAACGCTCATAGTCAATAAGAGACACATGCATTGTTGTTCCATCTTTTGTGACCATTGAAATGAAACCTTTCTTGCAGCTCTTTGCCGATGGTACTTTTCTTCCTGAATTCCGATGTCAAGCAGTCTTTCACACAACATTAGCTAAGAAACCTGTTGGGCTCTATTTTTTAAAAATCTATCTCCAACAAAACTAGAGTTGAAAAAGGCAAAGAAATCATCATTACACATCTTTGTTTTTTGTTTTGTTGTTTGTTTTGTTTTGTTTTGTTATGTTTTTCAAATCAACAGCAAACTCATTGTGAAGAAAAAAGGCAAACAAAAACAAAATACCAAAACTAAAAAAATTGTTTGAAAGTTAGCGTGTTAAATTCATAAAGTTAGACCAGGCAAAATCACAGCATGAAAGAGATAAATAATATGTTTTGCAGCTTAGCTTAATTAAAAACTGCTCCTCTGTTACAATTATATGTACATAAACACTCTAACTGACAACCTAAAATTTTTTATGTATGCTGTATTCTCTATTGTCAGGCGAGTTCCTGACTAATGGGATTTGCTGTATGATTTGTTAGGGAATGACCAATCAAACGCTACTATGGATAGCATATTAGAAAATAATTACTGGTATAACTGGTTCTATTCGCTTTTTTGTAGGAGGAAAATCGCCTTTCTGTAATGGAAGTTGTTTTTAAATCCTTCAAACTTTGTGAGTTTACAGGCCTTGGAGTCTTTTATCATTTGAAATAGAAGTTCCCATCTTTTTTAAAAAAATAGATTACCATACTACCTATTCAGCTAATCCTTGATGATAGGTGGTCTTGTTGTATGTCTGCATGTTACAGGTGTTCTTGAAGTTTGTCTGCCCGTATTTGTTGATGGTGTCATGAGCAATGGAAAAGCTCTGAGGTACACATTACATTTTAGTTCTTTCATCAGCTATACTGGTGCACCGGCCAAGAAATTTCCAGGTCTCTTTTCCTTTATTTTTCTATTTGTTTTACTGGTTTACAGGGCACAAGCCTGCCCAGTGGGAACAGACATAAACGGGAGACTATATCCCATGCGAGGTGACTCACCTCCCCCTCACCCATAGGTTGCCCAATCCCTCATCCCACAACCTACAGAAGATGGGGGAAGATCAGTAAAAGTGCTTTGAGATGGGGCTTACGGTTTTTCCATTTCCTTGAGAGGAATAGAATGACTAAGTAACCATTCATGGGTATCAGTAGAGAGATTGAGTCACCAGTGAGTCACGTTAACCGCAAACTGCAGACTCTAGTTGAAAATTTCTCAAAATGGAAAAAGAGCCGATAAGAACAGTCTAAAACAATTCTCTTGGATGAAAATAACGTGAAACACTTTTTTATATAGAAGAACGGTTTAATACAAGTAAAGGGAAAACTTAGTCACGTGGCATAAGTTCACGTTTGCTGTTTGCCGTTTGTTGTAAGCGTGACTCTAAATCTCTATACTATCGATCCTGGGTCTTCTTGCTCCAAAGTCTGGTACTTAGTCAAAAGGCCATTTGAATTTAAACTTTGTAATCCCGGCGAGCCCTAATTTGCACAAGAAAGTAAAACCCTGAAGGATTCTGGTAGTAGTAGTCTAACGATGTCATCGCGCAAATCGCCTATTGAGCTTACCAGTCTCCGGTTGTGTTTTTCAAAATCCGATTGTCCTCGGATGAGAGTCAAGAGTCTTCAAGATGTACTAGCACCAGAAAATACATGTTCAAAGTTTTTCATCTCTCAACGATAACTGACAGAATATAGATCTAAATTTGAAATTTTCATTATTTTTGTCAGGCAGGTGAAATTTTATGAGCATGTTTGTGCCAGGCTGTGTGCACTTGTGGCTTCTGCACCTGTTGCCTGCTTTCCAACTCTGGTGAGTTGTGCTTTGTTCGAGTTTTGGGTTCCAGTGGAAGTTTCATATTCGAACGTCTCATTTATTTCGACTGCATGCGTAGGCGCATAAAAATTACGTGACAATGGACATCCACCTCAACGGCGGAATCAATCGCCTGCTTTGTTGTAACTTCTCGTGTTCAGGGGCACCCAACGAGGATATGGTTCAAAACCACTTAACATAGCATTATTGAACGTATTTTAGTATTCAACTGGTAGATATAGGCATATTTTTATCCCCTAAAAACTTTTCATCTGTTCGGATTTCCTAGCTGAAAGTCTAGTGATCCGAAAATTATAGGGATAAAAACCTACCTTCTCGAAAATTTCAGCCAGGAAAAGGCTCCCGAAAATTCTAGGTGGCCTTTTTTAGGGTCAAAATCCGTTAAAAATGGGTAATTATAATATTTTGTAGATGTCCGAAAATCCTAGGAGAGGCAGGCAAGCAAGAAATTTTACAACAAATGCTCCGAAAATTCTAGATCTCAAATCGTCTTCCGAACAGTTTTTTTCCCGAAAATTGCCGTTGGATGCCCCTACGTGTTTGCACCCTTAAACACTTTTCACGTCATTGCTTTTTAGTTCAATAACAAGCAGACAACGAAAATCGGGGCAAATTGATACACTTCACATAGTCTTCAAAGTTTTCAGTGGAATATTTTTGAAGTTAAGAAATAACACGTTTCCTCTAGTGGTGATCAGATGGAGTAACTCTTGATTTCTCTTATCGTCCTGCGAACAACTAGACCAAAACCTTGACCAACATAGTATGTAATTCCTTCCTGATTGAGTCTATTGAGTTGCCAGAGTTACTGGTTTTATTACGCCACGTTGTGTGATTTAATCTCCTTTTACAACCATTGTTTTGTGTTTTAGTAGCTCTCTTTAATATCCTGTAGGAACGATGTCTTCTAGAGAAAGTCCTTGAAGATGATTTGTTGTGTGCTTTACTTGCTAGTGACGTGTGGTGTTTCATGGCCAGGTAAAGAATGGATAATTTGAGATTGCGTAGGAGATTGGGTCAGTGCTGTATCGAATTGCACTATGGTGCAGCTTTGATAGTCTCCTTCGCAGCCGCTCGGTTCGGAGTCACGCAATGCTCGCGTGGGGGCAAGGAGCATTGCGTGACTCCACCTACACCTTTGAGGGACCAATTTTGACCCAGTCTCCTACTCCTCTTTTTAACAACCAATAAAATGAGCAGTAGCGTCCCTAAAAGAGCCCCGTGGTGCAATTAGTGCAATTATTCCAAGCCGCACAAACTCTTGTTTAACATTTACTTTAGGTCTGTCACTTTTTTCATAGGTAAGTGGATTACAATTACATTGTTTCTGCTAAATATCTCTTACTTTCCGAATAATGTGAGTATGAGCACTTATAACATGTTATAACATATTATGGTTTTGTTGTTGTTAATCACTAGATGGGGGTCTGCTGAGCTTTGTACTGGACACGTGACAGTTCTTACTCAACTGGTACGTTGCTACATCTTGTATCATTCTTTAGCTGATATACCACTTCGACAAATACTTTTGTCAAGCGTTCTTGCTTTTCCTGAAAGTCCTGAAAATGCCCTGTAACTTGATGTCAGAATTCAAGAGTTCTTAAAAATGCCTGTTAAGAAGACGTCCTGCTCAAAGTGCTTGAAAACTTCTTGAATTTTCGTTCAGATATCGTATTATTTCAAAGTAATTTGAAGATTGAGCGCAAATTAGAAAATCTAGGATAAATTTTAGGAAAATATGCAACTCCGCCTGCACTGAACACTTTTAGAAAACTCAGTTGTTGGTGCTTGAATTCTTCTTGAATACTTAACCCGGCATATACCCTAGTAGTACTCTTCAAGAACGGCGCGCAGTGTTTTGTAACTTGTATTTATGGTAATAATACTTTTCTTTTTCAGTTACTAAAGTTACCCCCAACAGAAACCGCCCATTTTTACCTTTCATTGCTTATTCAGCGTCTTGTTCGACTTATGGCGGTTGAACACCAAGTACGTAAAATTATGAGTTGTTAATAAAAACAAACACACGCCTGACTGTGGCAACTAATATTCGAGCCGACATTTTTCCATTGTAGCGAAAACATATAGAACTTCACGTGTCACGGATGACCAAGAAGAAATGGTGGTCCTGTGACCAGTAATTATCAGTGATTTTGTTACAAATAGTTATGGTGAGTCCTGGGACTCATCCTGTGAAAAATTGTGAGTCCCAGTCCAGAACCATTGAGTCCCAGTTCAAAAATCAATAAGTCCTAAATTGAAAATGCTTGGGCCTTTGTCTAACCAGACAGATAAAAGATATTGTTTTGTAAAGCAGAAGACTAAAAGAGATATGCGTCGTTAAACAACAGCCACACGAACAGGATTTTCTACAAAAACATCTTCAGATCGATCGATCGATCTTTGCGTCCTACGGGACGCGTGCCGTGAACTTTTGTGCGTCTTTGGGGATTTTTACTAGTCAGGGACGCAGGACGCAGAAGTAACAAAATCAATACTTTGTGCTAACTCTGTTGAAACTTATAGGAGCACTTGTAAAGTCGTAGTAGCGATCAAATTCAGACTTAAAAACTAACACTTTTCACGGGAGCATTTCATATTGTTGCATTAACTTTTAAATAATCAAAACGTGATCCCACTCGAAAAGCAAACATGACACATATGGGCAAAATGAATTTCTATATCTCAATTTGGCCTTATCACGCTTTGTATACTTTTGTCATCAGGAGGCTCTTGTAAGTTCCTTCCCGCCGTCAAAAGAGGAAAATATCCGGGCCTGGTGTGCGTTTCCCATACAAGATATGCCTGAGGTTGTTAAGAAAAAGGTAACCTATAACAATAACAGTTTGACTGATCAAAGAGTGGGTTACTTACTAGGCTATTACAGCAAAAAAAATACAAACACAGACGCGCGTGCAAAATGAATATCCTTATAATCAAAGGACAAGCTCACTTCGGGAAGAACGTTACGTTTTACCTTTGTGATAGCCTGCAAAGTCTATCCGATCCTTTGCTGCAAAGAACTAAAAAATGCAGCATCGTTAGCCGTCGTTTTGTATTCTGCTGAGTAGCCTAACCCTCTTCAGTTTCGTGATAGAATTAGTAATCATAATAAAGAAGTACAAACAAAAGAGCAAGCTGAGCATGTTTGAGCTGTTTGGTTCAGTGTTAGATTCTCCCGCCGGATGTATGAAGCTTCCTTTATCTTTTGAGTCTGTGGACCAAACCTTGTGCTGTGACCATTCACTCATTCAAGACTTCTTCATCATGAAGAAAAATCACTTAGTGCCAATGCCTTGTGTAGCCATCACATGGCTCTCCTTGAGAAAAGAATTTAAAAAGGCAAAGGAGGATGGATACTATAAACTTCGTCTTCATCTACGGCCCTCTTTTAAACTGTCTTCGCTCGTGGCTCTGTTGTTGATATAGTCTAAACAAATTTTGTGCGCCTTAAACATGACTAACTCGACAAGGTCTTCTCCGCTGCACTTTTTTCTAGATGTGCCGTACCCTTGTTCCTCTGTGCATAAAAGTTGGTCACTCGAGGACTACAACACAGCAGCCTGTGACAGATGACCTCTTGGTTAGTACGTTCGCGAATGATGTACAAATTAATGCAACATTTCGTTTTTCCATGGCTATTACAAGTGAAGAAGCCTATTTTTCCATCTTGTCTGTCTTGTATGTAGAAAGAAAAAAAAAAGAATAACGTCGAAGGTTGGGAATTCCATCCAATTGAGCTGCTAATTTACTGCTCATTTTTCCTGAGTTAAGCTGAAGTGACATGCATGCTGCATGCTGTTAGGAAAAGGAACTTCTGAAGTGTCTTATTTGCCATTTCGAGGTTGAGAATGAGCAGGTGTTGTGTCGAATTGCACCATGGGAATTTTTCAGGGACACTTTCGCTTTTTTTGTTGGCTGTTACAAAATTATGCAGGAACAATACAGCGTCAAGCGCACTTCAAAATAGCCAATACGGAGGCAAAAGAATATCTACGTGAATATAAAAAAGAATTCGTTGAAGCCAATGAACGTGACACATGCTGGACGTTAGTAGTATAGGGCGCACCGAAATAACCCCCTTTTTTGAAGTGGAGTCTCACTTGTTTGAAGTGAAATACATTAACGCCGTGTCTGTAGGATCGATGTGGAGGGAAAATAAAAGAAAAAAAGGGACACTCAATTACTTGTGGATGAGTAGGAGGAGTGGGGTAAGTAAAACATTGTCTTTTGTGCGAAATGGAGCTAGTTTGCCTTCGACCTCATTAATATGCACGATTTGCCCGGCAAGAACAGTGAACCGGAACCAGGACAATGACAGCGGCAGAAAATAGAACGTGAATATTTACGACACGGCTCAGTGAATGTAGGTAACAGGCGAGTTTGAGTTGAGTTCTCAGACAACATGAATTAACCAATGAAAACGTTTCTTCTTTTCTAATCAACCAATCAAAAAACCAAGACATCAATCATCCATGTAAAGAGTAACACATTTTGTTAAAACAAAAGGCTATGATGTCATCGGCGTTAATGTATTCCACTTCAAATTAATGCGATTCCATTTTAAAAAAGGGGGTCAACTCGGTTCACCTCATTCTACTGACGTTACACTTTTTTGTTGGAAATAAAATACACCGTTGTTCTTTATTTCTACTGACACTGCGGATCCCAGAAGATTGCGGTGCTGTTCTCAAATGTTAAGGACAAAAAATGTTTGGTTATAATTACTGCTTGTGTCCCAGAACAGCAGGCATGAACCAAGTGCCTCCGACCGGTTTAAATTGCGTCGAAGACTCAGCTTTTTTTCTAGTTAGATACTCCAAGTCAGAAATTCCTAACATGACGTCTTTCTTATGCGTGTGTTCACATTGTTTTTTCCAAAGTGTGATTGCCTGTGTTGTCTTGAGAGAGTGTACAGTTTAGCTGAAGTGGAACAGTACGTCCCTCCGGTTCATCAATCTGCTGTTATTGAACTTGTTAACAGCCTGTGGTCTCTGAACAATCAAGACAATGAGAATTCAGGGGTACGTACGGCCCATTGGCACTATTGTCATACATTGTATGCTTTTTGATTAGTTTTGTTCAAATTACTTGAAACCTGGGGCCAATTTAATAAAAGTAATTTAAGCGTAATTTACCTGTGGCTGACCATTTTCGTAAGCTCCTTTACATGCGACACACACAAGTCACTTTCCATTGATTTCATACCAGGCTATCCTTCACGGTCTGATTTTAGGCCAACATTATAATTTTCAACAATTTGTTGATGAAGAAAGAATCTGTTGCCAGTAAGCCTGGATTGTTGAATCGAACTCTTACCAATTCTTTCTCTAAGATGGTCCAGTGATACCTGTTAACTTGTGTTTTTCAGCATCTCGATATCAAGACCCGTTGTAAGTTACTGGATTTGTCTTCTATTCTGCTACATATTATTCAGCCAGAAGACTATGCTAAGGTACAATATCCTTTTTTCGTTACTCATAACAAGGTCTACTTCTGGCTCTGTTTCTGACTGTGGATGTTATCTGTCCAACACCAGTCAGAGAGTTTTCTTTTCGATGAGAGACGGCTGTATTCGCAGGCTATATGAAGCGTAATAGAGTATTGTTGACGAACATCGAAGTGTTTAATGTTGTGAGAAACACTGCGATGAGTGTGAAATATACCTTCTCACACGAAATGATTTCTAAGAAGAGTTAAAGATGGCAAAACGAGAAGTGTTTTGCTAGATATGTAATTACGTCACGGTAAACCATTTGGTCTTTGGTCTTTTGTCTTTGCTTTTCGATTTATCAAAAAGCTTTTAACAAGTTTTGCTAAAACTAAAACACCTAGCTACAAGCTCAGGCAAATAATCTTTAGGGCACTTAAAATTTTAACAGGATAGATCCTCTACGTTCCGCACTGTTCAAAGGCAGTTTCTCAAAACGCGAGCAATTTGTGAAGGGGAGAAAGGAGGATGGGAAAATCAAGTTGACATTGCAATAATTAATGTTTTTTTCTGATGTTCTAATTACATGTTGCTTCTTTATGCAGATTTTAAGTGGTTTAAAAACTCTTCTTAGCCAGAGTCCGAGCTTGGAAGTTCGTGAAGCAGCCGCACAGTTTCTTGGAAAATGCGGTAGTAAAGAAATTCCAGAGCTGTATGAGGTAAGGATGGGCATTTTAAAATACTTTCGGTTTTAGTGTTATTTTATAGTATTTTTTAGGATTATATTTTTATCAAATATTTACTGTGTGAACATTTATTCATTTTAAAAAGAGGTGCCACGATCGGGGAAATTGAAACAAAATATTTTTTTTCAGGTAAAAAAATTGGTAATTTAGTTCACAGTTCTTGCAAAAGTAGTAAAAAATACGGCAATTTTATGTCGCGCAGATGAGTCTGAAGAAGATGAAAAGCAAATTATGTAAGTCGGTGAAAGTCGTTTAAAGACCCAAAGAAAAGACGGTGAATTTTGTTTTGTCTTACAAATGAGATCCCTGAGTTCCATAAAGATCCTTTTTGCACAAGATTCTCTTTGTACTTATATGGAATTTTCTTAGGCGGCAGTTCTGGGCGACATTACAAGCATGTTCTCCTCTCTGGTTAGTGACGATCATTGGTTGGTGCATCAAAAGGCATTTCAGAGCGTCAAAGCTTTTGCGGAGGTAAGCCCAAAGTTTAAGTAAGCCCGTCACTATATAAACAAACGAGCAAATGAAAGACGGTTTCCTGCAAGGGTACCAAAATGGATAATGATTTATTTCCTTTTTATCCGTGGTTTAAATTTTAATTTCCTTTGTTTTTGCGTATGTTTGTGTATGATAATAAGTATTAAACAAAAGAAAATAAAACCTAGGCCAAGGGTAAAATTGAGCCTACCCTGCGAGTAGAGGCTACATTTTCCCTGTGTGAGCTGTCTTGCGGAAAGTAGCTACTTATTTATACTAGGAACCTTACGAAACTACGACGTCGACGGCAACGGGAACGTCACAAAAAAGCAATAGCTTTAATGAGCAAAACAAAAATTCTGCACGTGCATCACGCTTTTTTGTACATTTCTTTGCAGTCCCTGCACAACTATGACGTGAATTGACCAAATTTTAAGTTTATTTGGGAACGGAAATGGCAAGGCGATAACTTCTACCAACTCTGTTTGAACTAGGTCGCGGCCCCTTCTCTTCAGCTCAAACCCAAATTCCCTTCTTTTAAATAACTGGGCCCCTTGGAATAATGACGAAAAAAAGTGTAAGGATTTGAAGTCTATTTTTTTGCGAAGTTTTCATGGACGTCGCCGTTGTCGGATAGTAAGGTCCCTATTGGGGACAATCCGACGACGAAATGCCGAGAATGGCAACGAGAACGTAAAAAAAGAACAAAAGGTTTTAGAGGGTAAAACAACACCTTTACACGTGCATCATACTTTTTTTGTAAATTTCTTTGTCGTTTTGCATGACTTGCTTAATATTACATTTTATGGAGAACGTAAACAAGCGACGACGAAATTTTATTTCTCTTTCTGAACTTGGATAGGGATCCCAGCAATACGCTCTTCTCACATATGGTAATATGCCCGTCTAACCTCGTTTACGGGTAAAAATTCTTTTGAAATTCAAATACAAAAACGTCGTCTGATTAGCATTTCAAAGGACTTTTTACTCAAAAGCGAGGTTAGACGGGCATATTACCATACGTGAGAAGAGCGCATTCAACTCCAGGGGGGTTCGCCTACTTTTGATAAAAGTAAATGGGTAGGAGTAATGGCGATAAAGACTGGAAGAACGTAAATTCACTTTTTATGCGACGTTTTTTCTGCCATCGCGTCGTCGGATTTTAAAGTCCATACTATTGCCGCTGTAACCTGACCTTTAATTTAGCCAAGCTTCATCACCTAGTCTAACTTGTTTGAAATGCTTGAGCCAGCTTCTCTCCATTTCTCTGAGTTTTTAAAATCGTACATTGATTTGTCACCAGGTCACTCGATACACCCATGTGATGGGAGACTGTGTTCCAGAGAGCTTACTTCCGGCTCTGTCCGATTTCTTAAATGAGGTTTGTTCTTCTCGTTGTTTCGTTGTTACAAGTTGTTAGTTTTAGTGGTTAAGCAGTAGTCAAATCTTAAGATGGTTAACCCTTCTAGAAGTGTAGCACATGACTAAGTAGTGTGGTAGGCAGTGGACATTATGGACCTGACAATGATTCTGATGTGCAAATCTCATTCTGAGGCGATTCTCTGGCGATTTCATAGCGATGTTTCAATCCCTACGTCATGGTGACCGTAGGGTGCATTTAATCAGATGTAAACATTTAACGAACCGAGGCTTGCCTCGCGCTTTGCGCAAAATGCCGCGTTTGCCTTGCTTGGCTCACAAATAACCTGTTATACAGGCTACCATTAATAGCATCTCAGTGCGAGCAGGTTGAAGAAAAAATAACGTTTTCGCAGCCATAACTACCGTAAACGCCTTAACTTACTCTTGCAGTCGAGCAAAAATCGCACTAAGTATGGCCTCTGTAAGCAAGTCTTGAGGCATGGTTATTTTCAAGAAGTGTATTAGCTCACGTTTATGTTTTTAAATTTTGCAGCTTCCTTTCAGACACAATGACTTGCCTGTAGACGCTGTATCCTTTACGAGTGAAATTGTTGGTAAAGCAAATTATCAAACTGTGAGATTCGAGTTTTGCCAACCGTCCGAACGCTGGACTTAGTCTATTGTTCGGACCTAACCAGCTCGCCCTTTTGGACCGTAGTTTGCCGCGTTTTACTTGTCTTCGTTTCTCGACCAGTCACGTAAGATATTCCTTAAAGGTAATGTTACACGGGGCGATTCGCAACGACGATTTTTAGCTCAACACAGCGATGCAATGTCGGAACAATGTTGTAACTATTCGAAACAATGTCGCAACGCTGTGTTGCGCTAAAAATCGACCTGGAGAATCGTCTCGTATAACATCACCTCAAGATAGTTTTTGTTTGTTGAATGATTCACATTCCAAGTTGACTCTACGTAAGGAAACTGATTTATCTACCTTGTAGCACAAACGTCCAGTATTGGTGAGTTAATTTTTCTTGACACAGATTATTAGGAATCCGATAAAGAATTTTTAAAACTTCAGCTGGAGGAAGCAGCCGCGGGGCAGAGTCAGTCCCCTGATTCCGGCGCACTGGATGAGGAGGAGATTCCCATCCTTGACAACAGTGGTCGGTCACGTGACGCAAGAACTAAAGAAAGCACCGGAGAGGTATGGAATTATCCACCAGGTCCAGTTGTTCAAAAGCTGGATAGCGCTATCCATCGGATAAATCTGGGATAAATCTGTATCAAGTGGATAAGTATTAGCAAACCAATTGCACTATCCACTGGATAGAGATTTATCCGGTGGATAGCGCTAGCTATTTACCTTTTGAACAACTGGGGCCCGCAGTGGGGTAAATAACATTCAAAAATTGCCGGCTCTCGTAGCAAGGGTAGAAAGGATGGGGAGAGTGGAACGTTTTTCATCTTCGCGTTTTTCACGTGGACTCTCTCACCCATTCGTTTACGCTTGAAAAGCTAGCTGAAAGCTTGCTCACTTAAAGTCACTGTATTTAGCATGAAACTGCCGAATTCTTAAACTTTAAGAGAACACTGTATACATTGAAAAGTAACTACAAATATGCTTAAAAAAGCCTTTAAATAATTACCGAGTAATAACTGCCTCAGGGGCGTGGCTAGACTATGTTGTAATGTACACATAGAGGGAGATTTGGCCATGTATTTGGAGGGTCAGAGGTATATAACCCCCAAATACCCCCAAGATACTAGGAATGCTGTTGTTAAGACGCTGCAAGTATAATGACCTATATTTCTGCATTGTCTTAGATTAACTAGCCACTAGCCTGTATTTCTGCAAACATTCAGTTATTCAGAGTTTTAGACCATCAATTGTCGATTACTTGTGTACAGACGCCCCCTTTCCTCCCAAAAAAATCGGGGAGGGGGGGGGGGGCGCTCTCCCCGATTTTTTTGTTTTTATTTTTGAGGGGAGGGGGTGTCTGTACACGGGCTACCAATGTAGAGGTTTTCGTTTCGAGTCTAAATAAGCCTTGTTTTTCATACACATGTAAATGTATCGCAGTTTGATTGAAGAAGCAGAACAATTCACAACGTGGTCATCACGCAGTATAATACTCGTTGTTGCTGCCTACACCTTGTTTCCTTAGTAACATTTGCTTAGTGAATCCTTGGTAGTAGTTTGATCGTGGTCATTATCGCACATCCTCAGTATCTGGTAAATCGAGCTCTTTAAGTTGTTACAGCTGACAACCTGGACTCTGTGGTGTTTTCTACATTTCCGGTTCGACAAATCTTAATTCGTTTTTTTTTGATCCGGTGAGAAAATAACAGTCAGCCATCTGATGGCAGTTTCATCTGTTGCAGCCTGAGGCGAAACGCTTCAAAGTACATGAAGGTCCATCCTCATGTAAAAACCAGGTGAGAACGTGAATGTAAAGGAACAATTGAATTTTTATGAATGTTTATTCACCAGGGCCGAATTGTGAGAAACCTGATTAGCATTAAGCGTTAAATGTAAACGGAGAATATCAGTTATCATGGTACCAAACCTGCTAATCATCTTTCTTCGAACAATTCTGTAGCCTGCGAAGCTGATGGAATTCAGCCTCTCGCGAGTGAGGTTTTGGCGGCGGAGCGGCGAGAAGCGAACGCCGAAGCAGCCGAAAGCCTGAGAAAATTTTGTCTGCCGGATAACTTGGCTATTTTTAATGCCGCCAACTTTTCACACTTTGTTAAAACCAATTGTAGCAACCAATCAGAGTAAGGGTGTAATGCAAAACCCACATGTATCAATCCCCATTCTCCNAAAACCAGGTGAGAACGTGAATGTAAAGGAACAATTGAATTTTTATGAATGTTTATTCACCAGGGCCGAATTGTGAGAAACCTGATTAGCATTAAGCGTTAAATGTAAACGGAGAATATCAGTTATCATGGTACCAAACCTGCTAATCATCTTTCTTCGAACAATTCTGTAGCCTGCGAAGCTGATGGAATTCAGCCTCTCGCGAGTGAGGTTTTGGCGGCGGAGCGGCGAGAAGCGAACGCCGAAGCAGCCGAAAGCCTGAGAAAATTTTGTCTGCCGGATAACTTGGCTATTTTTAATGCCGCCAACTTTTCACACTTTGTTAAAACCAATTGTAGCAACCAATCAGAGTAAGGGTGTAATGCAAAACCCACATGTATCAATCCCCATTCTCCGCGCGGATATTCAACTCTGCCTCATCTAAAACGCGATAACGTGACGATCCCGCAAGCTACGCAGGCAAAAAATTCTGCCCCGATGTTTTTATTAGGCATCTCAAAATATACTACTTTGAATCCTACCAGAGTATTGAACGGTTTGCCACTGAATTTGTTGTGTGGGAAACTCATATTTTGTGACTTTTTTGACACGATAAACTAGCTTCTAACTGCTTGAGAGTTAAAAGATGTTACAGGATTTCCCCAGTCGTTATAACTGTTTATAACTACAATTTTAACAAAAGTTGTGCTGTTCCCTCACTAATCTCAACTCAGATTTAACGTCTTTTTTGTTCGCTTTAGGGAGAGAGACTTTACGAAGAAGCTCTTACAAAAATGAAGATCCCACTTTCAACAATCCTCGATCTCAGAAAGCAGTTTATACCTTCCCCGAACGTAACGAAGCAAATTGAAGGAATTCAAAGAGTTCTGCAAGAGTTCGTTAACAATAGCACTGAATAATAAATAACCCGCACAGAATTATGCCAGCAATTACTTTCCTTTCACTCTTCACAGTTGTGAAAACCTTATCTAACTGTATATACGCCCTTAATGTGTTGTGTTATAGGATTTTATTAAATAAAAGTTACTTTTTTAAAGACATGCGGTT